ACTGAGGGAGGTAGAATTCAAATGGATCGTTGGTTGAAACCGTGGTTACACAATTGCTAGGTTAACAGCAAATTCTGAAGGGCACTATTGTACATCCAATAAGACATCATTTGTTACTGTCAAGACGTTCGCATCGCTACCATGCAATTATAGATCGTGGCAAAGCGCTTTCTACCGGCAAGGGGTACAAAACCCTTGCCTCGTTACCTATGGGACCTAGAAGATTTGAAGAAGAAGAGTGGAGGGCAGTACACTCATGAGCCGCTGCGAATAAACAGGTAAGCTGCTCTTCTATAGCATCCGATGATACCTGGAAGTTCGTTTTTAGGCTTGGTGGGCGTCATCCTGAAACAGGACGTAAGATAAATCAGCATATAGGTGGTGGAGTCAAGTTTGATTACTACATGATTGACTACCACAGCAGGTATGGAACAAGTTTATGCTTTTCGCTGAATTCTGCACTATTCGTTGGTGCCGAGAGTTCTTCCTCTTTTGGTTTCTTTTGATGGAGATCGGGCTTATACGGTGTCAGATTCACCAATCTGCGAAGGGGGGGGGGGGGTGCGGGGTGGGATTAGTTATTTCCTGTCAAGATGCCTGGCCATTTTGTGGAGACTTGTGAAGTTCTGTAACGTACAAGTGGTCGCCCTAAAACCTATAAGGACCATGCTGTGTGCTCTAGAGCTTTAGAGCTGTCTTCTGAAAAGTAGTACAGAAATCTGCAAAGGCCTTGATTACTATCCTGAACGATTTTAACAGTCCAGGAGGATAATAAAGATGTTTAGAGGACCCACGGAACCAGGAAAAACGTATGATGAACGGGTACTGGAAGTCCGTCGTGATCCAAACAGAAGTTCTCATATAGCACTTGTGGCAGGAACAGAAGGAAAACGGTGGATACTGGCTACGGAGAACATGAAGTAAGTCAGGAGAAATTACTTCTTTTGCTCCGACCCTCCGCTTCATACCATCAAAAAAGGCTTGAGCTTGCTATGCTCTACTTGATCTTTCTATTTATCCAAACACATCAAAATATCACAAGATGCGGGCAACCGTCCCAACCATATGAACGACTCGAGCCGATCCTCACGATTTATGGGCGAGCGCGCTATCTCTTACGCTTAACGGATATCGCTTTTGCCCGAGATTGAGAGAGCTGTGTTCTCAAGAGTTATGTAGATCTAAACTTTGCGTTAAGGGCTGGTGACATCATTTCAACTACATGCCATATTCCGGAAAATCCTGTCATTGGAGTTGAAGGAAATTCATACCCTGTTGGTTCTCTTGTAGCAGGCACACTAATAAACAGGTCAGTTTTGTCAATGCTTTCTCCATGCTTTCTTGTAACAGAATTCTGAAATTTTACCGATTTAGCTGAAACAGGAGTCTTAGATAATTCACTGAATTATCTCGGTGGAATTTCATTGCTGCTCACAGAAAACTTGTTCCAAAGTTAGACTTAGCGATGAAACAGCGAAGAGCTAGCAGGGAGGAGTCAGAAACCGCAAGTGTACGTGCTCTCGGACTTGCACGTGAAGAAAAAATGAAAAAAAAACTGGTGAAGGATGTACTAGTGTCAAACGAGAGACAAGGAATCGTTGTGGATATCGGCCGAGAGGCCAGAGAAAGCAGTGAGAGAGTATGAGAACAGACAGCAGACAAGAACATTTATCAACTCGGGCAGAGTCACTGCACTTTGGCGGTGTCATTAAAGGCCAAGCTGTCACGGATAATTTGATACCTTTGGCCTAAAAATGCGTGGCGGAGTCGCCCCTGCATATATTGGGGAAAGTGGCGAAAAAAAAACGAAGTGAAACGGTCAAAAACTTGCGGAGAAAATCCTTCATACTTAGTGACTCAGAAAGCAATTTCGGACGAGTTTCTCATAGACATGTTGCCAGTAACCGTTACGGTGGGTACGGCTGTACGTATGCACTCATATTATCAGTGCAGCACGTCGCCGCTTTCATAATTCCTTGTCGCACTAAATTTTACCTAGCAAAATGGAACATCAGCCGCTTCATACGAATTCCTTCGCCTAATATTTTACCTAGCAAATGAAGCAATGCGAGCATCAGGTACGGTCGTCCATTTGTGGGCGGGCGGGTCGGTACGTTGTAGCTTGATAGGGCCTTATAAGGGTACTTTCCTTGGAAAAGGCGCTACGCAGCACCTGCACAGGGTCGCGGAATTCCGTCCTGCCAGTCCAGATGTATCGATCCTACATCCTCTTGGAGATTTATCGTGCCAACTGCCTTTAAGCAACCTCTTGCTTTACCACCGCTACCTCACCACTTTCTGACGAAATTTATGCAGGATTGTTTGCTGTGGTCCACACTAGCTCCCCTATGAACAGCCTAGATAATTACAAGTGATCGTGGGCTCTGCCTGGTTGTTCTAGGTTAGTCATCTTCTTCTCTTTGGCCTTTCTCGTCTTTGTTCTCTTGGATGGTGAATCGTCAGCATGCTCCGAGGTGTTGAAACTGGAATCGTCCATAAAAACAGTGAGCTAATTACATTGAGAAGACAATATAGAAGTACTTTTCAGTGTTGAACGGTATCCAACATTGGCTGAGAATCTGGACAGTGATGTGTTCGTCGTAAAAGCGGGTACAGCTGCAACTATTGTTCGACACCAAGGAGACTTCACAGTCATTCGGGTGAGACAAATTCGCTGGCCTGTTAACTATTTATTTTGTTTCTTGTTTGCTTTCATCCTACTCATTGAGTTCTTTACCCTTCTGTTCGTTTACTGCTTCCTTATTCTTTTGATCTGGGTGCCAGTTGGTAAACTGACTAATGTCGGTGTTGCGAGTGACGTTACCT